GGCCGCACAATAGCCCCGTAATCGGATTTCCTTGCCTTGCATATGCAGCGTATGCGTGTGCGCCGCCACACACACACATGCATACCCCCCCTCCCCCTCCCACACACACACACATCCATACACATGCATACATCCCCCTCTCCCCCTCCCCACACACACACACATTCACACCAGCTAACGCACACCCGCGCAGCCACTGTTGTAGTACAGCGTTGTATACTTGTAGTTTCCTGGGGAGGCCAGGCGGACAAATGCTGCGGCGGATCCCCGTTATTATCATCGCCTCCATCCATATTTCGCAGCCGTCTCGACATGGCGAAGGCAGCGGCGTGCGCGTGCGCGCGTGCGCGCGTGCGCAGCGAGAGAGAGAGAGAGAGAGAGAGCTTCGGAAATGTCTCGGGGCAAAGTATTTACAGCCCTCAGATGGCAGTGTGGACAGCGGGGGGAGCAGCGCCATTCCGCCATTCGAAAGGGAAGGGTGCCAGGCCAGGGCAGGACTAGGGAAGTGAGTTACCGCCAGCGCCCCGCCACGCCATGCCCCGCCCCACCGCGCCCCACCGCGCCCGACCCCCTGGATGGCTGGGCCAGACCAAGCCTCCAGCGCCGCTTCGCCCGCTTCGCCCCCTTGCTCCTTGCCTCACAAGACCGTCTCTTGGTCCATCGCACGCGATCACAAAGGGGAGGAGCTAGCTGAGCGCGCGCGTGCGCCCCCACGCTCGGTCTCGGTGAGCATCGTCAACTTTTAATTGGACTGATTCTGCGAAAGAAATCAAAGATAAAAGGAGTCCAGTATGAATGGTGAATGGTGAGCGGTGCGCCGCCGCGACGCGACGCCACCTCGGTCGCCTTGTCTGCGAAGCTCGCGCTCAGCGAATGGAACTTGGTGGAACGCGTGGAAGTCCACGTGGTTAGCCGGTGTGAAGTTTTTACTTAAAGTGAGGGAGCGTCCCCGTTTGCACGTGCCCGGGTGTATCTTTGAATGCGCCCCAGTGTTGCAGGGTTGCATGCCACCTACACCCGCTAGGGGCTGCAGGGGTCGTGGCGCCTTGCCGTCGAATGGAGTAGGCAAACCCGCAATACTGGAGCGTACACCCGGTCCACGCACCCTCATCTGTCATCTGTCGAAGAATAGAGCCGCGGCGGTATGAAGAGCCGTCGGATCAAAAGGAGGCCTGGGTGAGATAATGACAGGTTTGAGCCCCACAAGTAGTTTGTTGAAGATTCAAACCGCCTCTCTCGCCTTACCGTTTTACCTTTCCAACCCACTTTCTTGTCTGTAGGTTAGACAAAATTTTGCCTCATCATAGGTACGGGGTGATTCAGGTGATTCACATGGCTCCTTAACCCGCTCGCACCTGCGTCTTTTCTAAATCAGCCGGTACTTACGACATTATTTAGGGCTGGGGCAAGAATGAAGTCATTTTTTTTTTGCCTTTAGATACCGTACGTACAGTTTGGATCCAGATATCCTCAGTTTGATACCAAGGCACATGCGCTAGGAGTTTATCTGGAACTGAAGTGCGGACTGTGTCCATTCCATTTGTAGGCGAAGATGCGCTCCATCCATCATGGTGATTGGCGGCAACCATCTCACAGAAACGCTGACGTTTCTCCTAATTCCTGATTTTATGGCAAATTTTCTTCGTCATAGTCGTGCAGAGCTCCATTTTTCGTCGTCCTTTCAGGTGCGGCGGCAATCCCATGTCTTTAGTACCAATGGCTAGCCAACGGTGTGGATCACGCCGCACTCAACTTAAGAAATTACTAGGAAGTTCCCCGCACTCGTTGAATTGCCCGGTGAAAGAAGAAAACATGAATAAATTGCCGCTCTTTAAGCCGGTTCCGGTGAGCAGCTGCTGGCGGCAGTTTCCTCTCCATTCCCTCTCCCTTCCCCCCTCTTTACCCTCTGACCGTCAGCTGGTCCTCTGTCGTATGAGATCTTTCGGAATTTAAAGTATCAAAATGTCTCGTCCTATATTTTCAGAAGACGAACCAGGAAGAAAATGGGATAAGTGTGTCACTGACGCAGTTTTAAAAACTGGTAAGTTATGAATTCAGTCCTAGTCGTTCGGCGAAAGTCATGTGAAGTTTCTTCGTTTATTCCTTCATAGGTTATGGCTACCATTTATTTGTATTGATCACATTCATTTGCACTCAATTTGTCAATGACATATCTTCATAGATGCAATTCCAACCTGTTTCTGGTGTAATTCGTTTGCATTGTTGATGGCCAATGAGAATACTCGGTTTCATCATTCCAAAATGTCTGGGAATGGATTGACCTTAACCTTCCATAAAGCAAATACTTTATATTTTTACTTAGTCACCTCTGCTTCCGTCCAGCCACCTCAAATTTCTTCGGTTTTTGTTTTTTATTTGCTGCAAGTAGTATCGAAACATTTCTCTGTTAATTTCAGGAGGTGGAGTTGCTATTGGTGCAGTATGCTCGCTCCTATTTTTCAGTCGTAAGTGTTCTTACTTTTGCTTCACCTTTCTTATAGTGGTTAAATTTCTTCAAAAATTTCAATTGTATTGTCTCCCAAAGGAGCCTGGTTATACCATTCTTAATATTCAAACATCTTTTTATTCCTAGGTAAAGGATGGCCTTTATTATTTGGTGGTGGTTTTGGCATTGGAATGGCATATGCCAATTGTGAGAGAGCTTTAAATAACTCATTATATGGCCAAACCTTACTAAAATCAACAAAGAAGGTAAGTCTTACTGAGTATACCCTTTAGACTTTTTCTCCTGCTATATCTGATATAAGCCTTTGCTTTCAGTGCTAAATTATAAAATAAAATTCTAGGTAATTCCATTGGCTTGAAATGTCAAGAAATATCAACTGTATTATAAGGATAAGATGGATACTTCTGCAAGGTGTTGGAGTTGTCTGTGTCCTGGCAGAGTGCAGTTGGTTGCTCTGGTAGAAAATTCAGTTTAGTTCTCTCAGAGAAGCTTGTCTTTTCACTTTTTGAACATCCCACTTGCTCTTGAGCTTCATAGCAGATCAAAGTGCATGTAGGTCTCATCAGCTCTAATCATGAAAAGTCTTTTCTACTTAAAAGTTATTATCAATTAAAATTCATGTTTTGATTTGTTAGAAAGAAACTGTTGGTTCTGCCTTCAAGTACTCTTGTCTCAAAAAATATGTCTGAAGAATAAAGTTCAGTTTTGTTTTTAATTTTGTGTTGGCTGACTCCTGAATTACTTGAATAGAGGAACTTTCAAGACATTTCAAGTCTGACACAGTTTTAGGATGGGTATTTATTATGTGCAGTAATAGATGACAATTTACAGAGATGAATTGTACATGATAAACATGGTAGCCATGAGTCTACCAATTGAAGGACAAATTATGTTCAACTAGGTGGTGAGAGATAACACAAAATTACAAATATGGGTATTTACACAGGATGATTCATACTTCATACATTTCCAACCAAAATGTTGATTAATATAATTCTCTAAAGAATGTACTTGGCAAGCATCCATCTACATTCAAAAGACACCTATTAGATTTGCTATGTAAGTGGTTTGCACAACAAAAGGACTACTGATTGGGATTTAACAATTGAGTTCTAACATAGAAACTTATTGAATTCACAACAGATCAAAATCATACATTTTAATAAGCACAATGTACAATACAATAATATTATTCCAGCTGAAGTTTGGGCTTAGATGATTGCACAAAATCCTTAAGTAATTTACAAACACTAATCAGAGTAAGAAAAACTCTTCCTACATGATCAATTAACACTCATAACTAGGTAACACTTGCAAACCTAAAATTTCAGTCAATAAAGAAATATTCCTCTACTACAGAGCCTCATTTCTTAAAAATAACACGACTTAACAAAGTGTTAACAAATTTTATTAATGCATCTAATAAATAACAATTGAGTCTTGTCATTATTTGCTGGTTTTAAATTTCTGAAAACCAAAATCAAGATATAAAATCATAGCTTCACCCAGCAGTCACTAAGGCTCAGATGCAGGTACTGTAATTTAAGACAAATGAATGTCATTTGCCTAACTAATTTGTCCAGTATTGTTACTGGTACAAACAGTGGTACTGTAGTTTGATACACTGTCACAGAACAAGAAAGTAGTCTACTAGCATCCTAGTAGATATATAAATACAGATGTCTGGTTACACTGCCATGAAGGATTTCCACAAATGATAGTTATTTATGAAGTAAATCTGAAAAGATTCAAAGATGATAAATACTGTACCAAATACTACAATATGAAACAATGAAAGCACATGAGTAGTAACTGGTTACTCACCACAAAAATCAAGCTCATCACTCAGTTTTTTCAAGTTCTAAGGCAGCATACTGTTCTTCATCTACTTCAGTTACCATGAGATTCCCATCAGGCAACAGCAATACAACGTTTCGTGGGCCTCCTAGAATTAAAAATATATACCATAACATCAAAGTAGCAATCAAAGAATACTCAGTAGTGTACTTAATAAGCACAGCATGTTTTACTAACCTCCAGGAGGTGCTTCCCCAGCTTGAACGACTTGAGCTACAATTTGAGCTTGAGTATCATCTTTATCTCCCCCCTCCATGACTGACATGAGTTGGGAATCTCCTAGAGTTGTGGTTCCATCTTCATTTTGTACTAGGAGTTGAGATCCATCACCAAGAATGCTGACCTGGAGAGGACAAATTAATTATACCTATTGATTCATGATTGACATCCTCAGAAAGTACTCATATATTGTGCTAAAAAAGTATTCTATTCTGATGTGGTAATGTAGCCACACTAACCTGGTTGGAATCCACTTGAGACAGGGCATCAGCATATGCAGAATCTAAGGTGAGCACAGTAGATCCATCCTCACCTTCTTGATTAGTGGTAACATAAACACACCGTTGTTCACCATCCTCCCCTTGTACAAGTAGTGTCTGGGCTCCATCCTCGAGTTGTCCTTGAACTTGATACACAACCCCATCTGGTCCTGAAAATGCAATAATACATAAAATGTCTTAGTCAAGAAAGAGAAACAAAGTCTACAACTCCTATAAAACATTAATAAACATGGTTTTATTTTTCCTTGATTTAGAGGCTAAAGATGGTGTAACAAAATGTATACCTTGTATTGTAAGCATTTCTGTTTCAGGAGAGATCAATTCTTGGCCATCTTCAGTGAACAGTTTACGGGAGGTTAATGACATGTCTTGCATGGGAGCATTAGTAACCTGTGAAACTGTGCTTAAAAGATTGCCACTTCTGCCAGGAGATCCCTCTTGCATTCTCTTTACAGTCAGTCCACTTGAGGTTCGCAGCAGAGTAGTCCCTTCATCCCCAACAACAGTGCCAGTAGTACCTCCGGGGCTCATTTCAACCTGTAATAGAGAGTAAAATTATAAGAACTGATTTAACAGATAAATAGTCAAACCAAAATATTTAAAATTGAAACTAAAAAAAAAGGCAAGACTGTTGCATGGACAAGTAATTTTTAACTAATTCTTTTCAAATGTATACCACATTTACAATAACATTGGTTGAATTGAGATTTAGTCAGAGTCAATAACAGAATTCTTTGAAAAACAAGTCAAGATTATGGAAATTATTGGAAGGAATGCAATTAAAGAAACAAAATGTATTATTCTTTTCTTTCAAATTGTGTGCATGCATCAAAATTGACTCTTACACGAGCAAGAAAAGCACAAAGCAATAAGGAAAGCAAAATATTTTAAGGCCCGCGTCCGCTACCGCAAAAATCAAATTTACATGGGAAGCATCAACAAGTCCTGATAAGTAGTTTCTCCCTTTGGAATAGTGACACGCGACGAACCTTAATAAGTGTCTGCTCTCCACCCTCAAGACTTTCTTCCTCCAACAGAACGGTGTTTGAGGGAGGAGGAGTGGGCTGAGGGCTTGGTACGGGCTCTGGTGGAGGAGTTGGCGGTGGCGTTTTCTCGCCTTCTGCTCGAGCCAGGATTTTGCCCGTCAAAGGACATAAAGTAAGAGGTCTCTCAGGGCTGGCAGGTTGAACTAAGGGCATGTCACCTGTCGGGAAGTCATCTGGGAGACCACAGTCTGAGTCTGAATCTGATTCAGCCAAACGGTCCTAAACAAACATGTAACGAGATATTAGACCACGTGCATTAGACCGACCATTCCAAAGAAAACAACCTATCAGGGCTAGTGATGGATTTTAAAGAAAAGTGTTTTTGCTTCCCGTAATATAGAAAATTAGTTGTTGGTATAGGGTACGCCAAAAGAAAAACAATGAAAGCTTATGAAGACTATCATAGCAAATGAAGAAATCTCATGCAAGCTGCAGAAGCAAACTGAAATGCCTCTTCATAGCAGAATAAAATAAATCTGTGTTCAATTAAGGTTTCCCAATAACAGGTGATTGAACATGTCAGCAGTGGGTATACTTATAGATATAAAGAAAACCTTTATCTTAAGAAAAAAAATAAAAAAATAGTTACAAATCTTAACAAACTACACTTACTTCTGCAAATTCCAGGTTTAGTCCTTCACTTGATAGGGATTTACTTTTATCTTCAAGACTTCTTGCCTACAACATCAACAAAAGATTGATAAGACTCTACAGGACACCCAGCAACTAATCAAAACCATGAGATGGAGAAGATAAGAAATGTTAACTTACAGCACCCACCATGGTGGGTCCACCACGGCCTCTTCCTCTCCCTCTCATACCACCTCTACCAACTTCTTGTTTCAACTTAGCTGAACCAGGTTGAATTAAGAGACTAGCTGCATCTTTTTTAACATCTTGAGGTGAGTCTTTCCTTTCAAGAATACCTTTTGACTAAAAAGAAGAAAAAATACATCAGTGTTTTGAAAGAGTGATGACAGCATAATAGTAGATCCTTTAATGTGACTTTGAACTAGATGAATAAAATTGAATGCGAAATGTACCTTTGGTGTTAAATTTGATGAACTTGCAAGTGATGTTGGTGTTTGGGCACTAGACCCAAGCATTGCTTCTATGGGTCTAATGCCACTTTTGACTCCTGATCCCATTGGTGCGGACACAGTCCTCCCTCCTTGTACGGTCAAGGCTTGCTTGGGGCGAACAGGCCTAATTCCGCCGCGTGCTCCCCCTGTAAAAAGCAGGAAAAGTTGGATTTGAAAACATACAGAAAGTAAAGAGAAACATTAAAGACACGCTAAAAGAACGTAAGTACAACACCTAGAACAGTTGGTACTCTTGGTGAAACAAGTGCAGGCCTGGGTCCTGATCCAATTGTGTTTCTGACTAGACCCGGCCGTACAGAGGTTGAGATGAGCGGGCGGGGCCCGGACAGTCCACCTGCTACGGTGCCGCTAATGGTCCGTGGACTTGGCGTCACCTTTATTAGACCTCCTTTCATTTGAGGTGAGACTAATTTTGGCATAAGTTTCATGGGGGTAACAGTTGAAGATGCAGTTGCCTGAGGCTTCTTTCCAAGGACAGTTGTTTTAATGGGGGAAGATCCTAATCCTGAGTTATCTGATTCAGTGGATTTAGCATCTTTCACAGCCATTATACCACCTTGTTTCTGACCTACACCTAAAAAGTAGAAGTAAGTTAAAATTTTTGCTCCAATGAATAACTACAAGATATAATAATTATGGTTGGCTCCAAGACAACTTTTGGCTACTTGTGAGAAGTAAAAATTTAGATCACATACCTGTGACTACTTTAACATTAGGTGAATCTATCTTCACAAGGCCACTACCTCCATTTGGTCCAGGCTTAGTGGACATAATGTACACTCCTGAAGATATATTTGGCATAGTTCGAGGGTCTACCTTAACAACTCCTTTAGAGTTTGCAACAAGAACTGGTTGCTGAGAAGGTGACATGGCAGTACCATCCAGTTTCTTTCCAAGAACAATCGGACCCTTACCTGAACTGCCATCCAAACCAGACATAAACTCCCCTGCAAAATTTTTAAGAATGAATGATAAAAATAATGAATGAGATTCACAAAATTTACAAGAAATTTACCTAAGAGTGCATTTGCTAGCTCTTGATTAGCTGATTCTGATTTAACTGGTGTTGAGCCAGGGGACTCACCATTCATTTTCACTATCTTTCGAGGCCTTCCTGGACCTCTACGAACAGATAAAAATTCTTCATCTTCTTTCTTACGACGTTTAATAGGAAGTTCATCAGCGGATAACCCATCATATTGACTCATATCCTCACTCTCTGATGATCTTTTATGCTTTCGCATACCATCCTCATCATCTGACATGTCAGAGCCTTCTCTTAACCCATCTTCATCCAATTTCTTGGTGGTCATAGACCCACACCATGCTTTGACTTGATCCATGGCCTTTTTCTTACTGCTTCTCACTGGACGTCCCCTAGCAGGGATGTCTTGTTTCGGTGTGCTTGTGTTAGGCACATCAGAAGTAATCATCTTAGGACCAGGAGGAAGGCCAGATGGACCTCTTTTCATAGGATCTTTCCCCTGAGCTTGTAGCTGCTTCTGTTTTGCCAAGTTTCGCTCAAAGTTTTCTAATAGATGTTTGCAGTCCGCAAGATTTTCTGCAGGCTCCCAAGTGTTTTGATCACTGCGAAGAAAATAACTATATAATGTTTTGATGGATTAAACATGAAAAAGGACAAGACCAACTTGAATAAGACAACATACTCTGCGTATCCTTCCCACTTGAGAAGATACTCATAGGCTTTCTTCCGGATGTTATAACGTCTAGAAACAATGCGTTCAACCACGAATTCATCCTCACTCTCCAAACCTGCCTTTGATAGAGGTGAAATTTTAGCCTCACCATCAGTTTTTTTCTAGAATACAGAGAATGAAAGTCATCATGATTTTGTGAATAATTAACAAGTAAATATAAGCTAAATCTTGTGCAGTTTTAGCATGCAAAATATTCAACTGGCCTCACCTTGAGAACAGTAGTATGCAAAGATTGCTGCCTCTGTCGTTGAATACTTTTGTCAATATCTTCAATACTTTCACCAGCCTCAAGTCTGCGGAGGCGCTCTTCTTCTTCTTCATCTTCATCCTCAAATGCTGCTTCTGCTTCACTCACCTGTTCTTCCTTTATCTCTAACCCCTCACCTAATGTTGTACTACTGTTGCCATTCTCTTGTGTGGGATTTGGATCTTCAGCCTTACAAGAAATTTCAGAGTAAATGACCTACACATATAAATGGATTGTACAGCAAATTCCTTTGAAGAGTTTACATACCTTACTATCATCCTTCTTGTCATCATCTTTCTTTTCCTGAGTCTTTTCAGAGCTTATAGGTTGAGGTGTTACAGAAGACACAGGTGGCTTTCCTTTAATCACTTTCCGTATCATACCTGAACAAGTAAAAATGAAATTCACAAAACATAGATAGATATCTATTTATCATACAATAGAGTTGCAAGCAAGTGGCTACCATTTTTACCTTGCTTTGGTGTTGTTGTTCCTTTGGGCATTGGTGACTTTATTTCTTGCATTTTGGCACTAGCCAATGTGGTTGATACTTGGATAGCTTTGCCAGCTGAGATCCAAGCTTCTCTGATATTGTCTGGCATTTTGCACCATTTCTGATAAAGTTTCCATGAGCTAAGTTGGTCTCCACCATCTCCTACTGCAATTTCAAGCATTAATCAATGTCAATTAAATGGAGGGATGTACAGTGCACTGGCAATACAAAATAAACATATTACTAAGTAAGCAATAGCTTACCCTCTGGTTTGGCTTGTGAACTTTTCCAAAGAAGAAATGCCCACACCTGAGGTTTTGGTTCCTAAAGATGGGCAAATACATGTAGTGTTAAGAGCAAGTACAGGGAAAAATAAATGGGTGATGAATTGACAATTATTTAAAAAGACATACTGAAAGGTTTCCTTTAAAGACTGGTGTGCTGCATTCATTCTTTTCTTTGTGCTCTTGGAACTCCTCAATAAAATGAAAAACTGCATGGCATTTTCCACACACAAGAACATCCATGCACGATATTTCCTCTTGTGCAGCTGAAATAACAAAGTGGTAAAATTCTGATACTCTGATGCCGCAGGTAGAACTGAAATAACAAGGATATATTACCTTTAATGACTTTTGGATTTCTATTGACTGTCGAAGGATCTATTCCCTCTTCCTCCATTCTAGCTGTGGAAATGAGAGCACTGCAAAGTACAAAAGAGATATTTGTAGATTAGATTCAGGTATAGAATTGAAATATATGTTACACTGAGCAACCTATATATAGAACAGAATTTCAATAAAAATACAGAAAACTATAGATGATGGCAGTTGAAAACACAGTAAGAAGTATGACACAAGCCAGAGATAACACAGAATTCTCTTATAAATGTGAATATTACTTGCAATGAAAACATAAACAACTGCATGAGTCATGAACATAAAATAATATAAGAGAGGTTAAGACGCCCATATTGGCAAAAACATTCGTTTTATTACGACCCAACTTACATAAATTCAAAATAATCGTCTACGCACCGCCAAAAAAATGGGCGTAAATAGACTTGAAAAACACAATACCAATTACTAAAAGGCACACGGTTTTAATTATGCGGCTTCAGTTACTTTCACAAACTTTCGAGCGTTATTTCCCGCGCGAACTGATAAACAACATTTGAGCTACACCATCTCAAGCTGATCCCAATTTTACAATTTTAAGTCAGAATTAACCTATGCACCGAATTCAGGAATGCAAGGAAAGATTCCATATTACAACATTTAAAAAGTAAACAATTCAAAATCTTCTGCTAGCATAACCCTACCACAATATTTTTCTGTCCGTAGATCCTTTGTAGGTGGCTACGCAATCGAAAAGGATGTCAGTATCCTCCTATCGAAGAAAGGTTCTTTCCTGAGAACGCACCGCGCTCAAATGCCAATGGTCGGCTCAACAAAACACCAACAAATCGAACTCAAAAACACCTACCGATAATTTCAATGAGTCACGTTAAAACTTGGGAGACACAGCACTTTCAGGGGTAAAATATTCACGTAGAGTTTCGACCGTTTCGACTCCGCAAATCCTTTTCCACCGTCAGAAAATGGAAGCTACGCGTCGCTGGCATCGTCTCTCGCGACAGTGGCGCTATCTTCGTGCACCACGCAGCGGCAAAATTGTGAACTACTTGCTGTTGGTCAGCCTGTTTCGACGCCTTCTAGAAGTGTTACTTTACAACACCTTGACGTCATTCGATGGCGGAACTTCATGGGATGAATTGCCATGGTATCGAGTAATGGATTTTATCCATTTTAATCTGATGAAATTAATCACTCAGCGAAATTAAATAAACACTATTTCGGACCACAGTTCTCAATATTCTTTTCGATCTGGTTTTATTCCTGAATATACCCAGATAAATACCATAAAGTCGTATATTAGAGGATCGACATCCAGCTCGTCATCCTGGAAGGACTGAAATGCAAGAAATAAACCTGAAGGAGCCTCAGTAAAAGGACTTGGTGAGTAAACTATATCAAACGTTAGCGTCTAGTGGAAGTGAAATTACTGCCGTAAACGAAGTGAAGGTATTTAAGTACAGCCTAAATATAGCGTTGCAACTAAAATGGCGGAATGTACTGTGCCTAGGTGGCCGAACCTCTTTACTTAATTCCCATCAAAGCCAATTCCATATTTTGTGCCAGTTGTAGATTTTCTCATGAGTCGTTTACGCCTATGTTTATCTTACCAGTCGCTCTACAAACCTTGTAGGTTAAGTTTATTCTAATTAAGGTTATGTTCAGCGGACGCAAACTGGTGCTACCGACCCGGCAAATACTTGTTTGTGCAAATTACTCAGTGTGTATATTTTGGAAAGGAGTGTTTGTTAGTCCTCCTCTGACGGTTAATTTCTGAAATTGCGCCCTTTGCCTCTTAACTTTTCGTCTTCCGCTCGCGAGTAGCTCAGACTCAGACGCCCTGTCTCAGTTGTCCCTTTTGTTTTACGACTTTTTTTGGTATTACTATTCGATCCTCTGAAATACCTGACTTTATTCTCTACCCTTCTTGCTAGCATAATGTGGCGAACTTTTGTTATGTATTTGTGAATAGTTTACCAGTGTACTGCTAATCATTTTGTTAGACTACTCCTAACTACCCCCAAACTAACATGATTTCTGGTAAAATTCTTATTTTCTGTAACTTGTTGAAAAGCTAAACTGTTTACCATCGATTATGATGCTTAATTTTTTGATAGTATTCTTTATCTCTCATTGAATTATTGAATATATTATTTTCCCCCAGTTATGTTCTAGCCTTTTGGAGACAGCATAGGCTTTACTTGAATAACTCAGTGCATGACATGTACCGCATGTTTATAGGTGTGTTGGTTTTCTTTTTTTGATCTGCTTTGAGAGCATGAACATTTAGTCGTAAGAATCAATCCTCGTGTTCAGATAAGGAGTTCATAATCTCATTGACTTGAAAGTATTTTGTGTGATTTGCATGATTACAGAGCTCTTTCATATTTTTTATGTGCCTCTATTTCTTGTAATAGTTTATTTCTTCCATTCATGTAACACAATCATAGAAAGTTCAATTGATCCATTACTATGTTGGATACCAGATACCCATTCATTAAAATTCAGGAATATCAATGTTTTGTGAAGTACTGTATCATGATCAGTTTCACAGTGCTTAATTGAAATATTTCTATGACCAGCCCAAGTAAACATATAAATTTTCTTGCAGCCCCCTCAAAAAAATGTCCATTTAATTTGAATTTTGTTTTAAGGCTAAAAATTCATACTTTCCACCTAAGTTTTGTTAAGACTTAAAAGCTAAATTGCTGTTCGGTTGGTAAAGTTTGAGAGAAATCACAGATCCCTCTCATTATCACTCCTTTTTTCAAGATGAGAATGAAGTGCTCTCTCTACTTTAACATTTTAATACAACATTTACCAATTGCAAGGACAAAACTTAGAATAACTTACCTTCATTTCTTTGATCTGTTTTGGAGTCCTATTGGAAGGCTAGTTGAATTTTATCTCATGCATTTACAACTACTGTATTATATTACAACTTTATTTCTTTCCTGTTATTTGCATTTTTCTAATCCTTTGTTTCTTAAATTGACTTAACATTATGCTCTGTAAAATTGCCTACATTTACTGCTTCCTGTGCAGGTGCTGGCTTTGCTACTGTGGTGTACATTTAAACCCTGCTTGATGAGTCTTGCTTAGCTTCAGTTAAAGATGAGGTGAGACCTGGGTTCAGTGTAATTTTCAGACAGTAATTTTTAAATTTTTTTTTCTATGAGTACCATACCATACAATGGCATGGCGTGCATATCATAGATTTTGCTCCCATCCAATTCCCCCTACCTACTCATGTATATTATTCAAGTTTCTCATACGTAATGTCTTGTTGCAGGGGTCATGCTAAGTGGTCGTGATGCAGAACAAAACGGCTCTGCATCAAGTAGACACAGGCCAGAAAACTCCAAGGAGGGAGTTCTGTCAGATGAATCCAGGAACTCCTTGGGGATAAATAGCATGCAGCAATCTACTGATGGCTCTTCTGAATTAAGACACGGCCATCAGTCTGAAAGCAAGAAGAAAAGTAAGCGAAAACAAAGTTCTGAGAGCAAAGAAGATTTGAAGAAAGCACCTGCTATTGTTGAGTACTCGGATGTGAGTTCTGAAGACCTTTCTGCACCTGAAGCAGGAGAGATTCAAAGTGAAGACGGCTTTAATTTAAGTGAGGGGGAAGTTAGTCCTCAATTGCATCTCTCAATGCGGCATCACAGTGATTCCCATAGACACAGCAGCAGCAGCAGCAGCAAACATAGGGATAGAAAAACATCAGATTCAAGATACTTGTCACCGTCTCCTACGGAGGGCCATCATACCCATCGTAGGTCGTCACCATCAGGTGTACCCATATCCCCATCATCTCCATCTCACAAAAGTTCCCGCCATAAAGATTCATCAGATTCCAGGCACCGGAAGCACCGAGATATCCCATCTCCTTCCTTTCAAGACAGTGACTCCCCATCAGACTACCATAGTTCAAAGAATGATTTACATGCCATGCGACAGAAAGGAAAAAAGCACAAACGCGATCGTGACCGCAAACATGAGAAGAGCTCAAGACATTCATCGCCTAGGAAAAGGAGGAAGAAATCAAAGCATCATTCCCGAGATTCAAGCCAAGCTGCAACAAGTAGGAATGTTTCTCCCCCTAGTGCTGCTTCTCCAGGTTCTCCTGATGGCTGGGAGAAATCAGTAGCTCACAAGCACCACTCTCGAGACTCAAGTCAAACAGCGATGAGTAGGAATGTGTCTCCTCCCCCAGGTTCACCACGTTCCCCTCGGTCTCCTCTCGGATGGGAGAGGCCAATGCCACATGAGGATAGTAGGGCATCCTACCGAGGTACTCCTCGTACCCCTCCTCTGAAACATGGTCCCAGCACCTCTCCAGTGTCTCCTCCGTCGCGAGGTGCTGGCAGTGACATGGACATAGTGAGTGATGAACGTGATAGCCCTTCTTACTCCACAGCTAACCAACGCAGAAGGGTTAGTACATCTGCTGCATCTCCCCATACTTCCCCCCCACCTTCCAAAGGATATGACTCGCAGTTACCTCGTGATGTGGGAGGAAGACAAACTCCTCCTAGTCCTGGAGTGAATCGACGCCCTGTGTCTCCAAACTACAATCGTCGATCAAGAAGCCCTGATGGTAAGTGGCAATTTTTTTAATTCTTAGGATTTAATTTTACTAGTGTGTATTTTGGAAGGTTTCCAAGTTAATTAGATTTCTCCTGATGCCCTCAGAAAAGTAAATTGGGTGTACTGCTGTAGTGGGTAGCATTCTTTGCACAACATAGACTTGTATGCCAGCACATCAATGTGCCAAATTCTCTATTCCTATGATTTCTTTGGGGGGGGGGGATTTCTGCATTTATCATGTATTTGGATTTTTACGGTAGTTATCTCTCGATGCACACAGGAAAATTATACTGTTATTTTTATGCATTTCTTTAAAGTTTAAGAGTTAATTATGACTTAAATTTCGCAAAAAGTTCTACTGACACTTCAAAAACTCACCATATAATAATATGTTTATTTTTGGTATCCCCATGTATCTTCTGTTATTTAACAACATAGATTTATATCTTAATTTATATCCATATATCATATTTTAGCCTTTTGATCACCTAAAAGCTGTTTTTCTTTAAAAGAAATATTCTTTAATCCAACAGGGAGAATCCGTGATGGAAGAACACCAAGCCCTTCAAGAATAGCTCGTCTTCCTTCAGATAATAATCTAGTTTCTAATAGTCAATCAATGCGGGTAGATGAATGGAGAAGTCCACCCCTTATTTCTTCCCCCTCTGTGTCAAAGAGCCGTTCCAGACGGTAAGATCATCTCTACGTATTGTCTGAATGCTGAAGTAGAATTCTGCACTTCGACAGTATCTCCATACGCTTCATATTTTTATGTTTTCAGGTCTGCCAGTCCTCCAAGAAAATCGAGGAGAGGAGAAAAGCGAGACAGGGATACTATGGAACAAATAATTGTTCATAGGATAAATGACAGTCGACCTCGAGAGGGATCTGACCGCTTAGACAGAGAAAGAGATCGTTTAGATGATGACGCCTATGATAGGGACTCAAAACGGGATAGGGATAGGGAACCAGCATATCTGGATAGAGATAGGTATGACAGAATAGGTAGAGATAGACAGGACAGGTATGAGAGATCTGACCGCACTGAGAGGAAATCTCATCGAAGGGATAGGGACAGGACGAAGTCACACAAACGTTCAAGGCGTTCAAGAAGTCGTTCACGATCCCCACCTCCTCCAAGGTAAAGTGTGCTAATATTGTCTGTTTCTAACTATGATAACTCTTTTTTGTCATGATCCATTAATATATGTGTGTTTAATATGCAGAACGAGAAGGTCTAGTCGTTCGCCTCTATCACGGTCAAGAAGTAGAAGTCCTCAAAGGTGGAAAACATCTAGAAGTCGCTCTCCAGTTGGCTTGTCTCGGTCGAGACATTGGAGTGGCTCTCCCAATCGTTCTAGAAGGTTTGTTATCTCCAACTTTGTGTTTTACTGGTTACTTAGAACTATTTTAAGGAGCACAACTAATGTCCTGTTGTCTTTATCTTCCAGATCTTCAAGCAGGGGACATAAAACGTCTACTAAAAGAAGGTCAAGAACAAGAAGTCCCCTCCGAAGCCGGCGGTCTCGTACCCGCTCACCTCCAAGTAGAGGCCGCATCACTTCTAGGAGCCCTGTAAGAAGTCCTCGCACTCCAAGAAGCCCATCCTCTGCGGCCGCCCGACGTCTTCAAGCTGAGGTTCGTATAGTTCTTTTTTTATTGTTTCTTCTGAGTTGACCCAGTAGCTTTATTTTGTCTTACACACTTACACACCTTTTTATTTTTAATTTAGTCCAAGATTGGCGACACTAGTCTTGTAGCAGAAATGATGAAACGCCGTCAAACTCGTGAAACTGCTTTAAAGACTTTGGAAGCTCTTGGGAAGAAGAAAAAGGCCAATGAGGATGATGGTGATGTTACAATCATTGAACCTGATGGTGGTTAGTATACATCATTAAATCATTGAAGTTTTTTTTTTTTTTTCATATTTTCTTGTCAGTTTTTAATCATCACATATCCCCTCTTCAGATTCGCAGTCCTCTAAGAATGGTTTAGAGTCTATTCATCCAGATTATGTCTCTAAAACCAGTGATGTTAATCTTATACCAGTACCTGTCTGTGATGCAAATCAACTCGTAAGTTCCTTGAGCCTCTAAAATACAAATACAAGGAAATCTGTTGACTTGCAATCTTATAGATTTGACACACTTTTTCCTTAATTTTAACCATATGTTTCAGCCTGGAATGAATTATAATCATATGATGGATGTGGTGCCTCCACCAGCTCCCCCTCCAGGGCTATGGTATTCTCATGGACCTCCACCAATGTTGGGCATGATGCAACCCCATACATTCCAAATGGTTTGTGCTGGTTGATTGTTCTTCTTAAGTTAGTGCGTATTGGCATACTTATCTCTTGATTTATTTCTTGTGCAGCCCCCTGGAATTCCTCCCCCTCTTGGAATGATATCAGTCACTCAGCCTCCTCCACCACCCCAGATGCCATCCAAACCGCCAACCCATCTACCACCACTACAGGCACCACCATTACCCAATTTATCAACCCCACCCCCGCCTGTGAGATCAATGCCATCTATGTCGATACCCCCACCCTTATTACCTTCTCTACCTAATGGAGATGATAGAGAACTGAAACCATTTGGTAAGCATCTTAGATTTGTTTTATCCTACTCTGTTTTGCCAATTGTTTTTAACCATTTCTTTTTCCTTGCACAGATGGGTTTGATAAGAAAAGTCAAATCAGGTCAGACACACCAGTGCGTTCCAAGCCCAAAAACCTCACAAAATTACCTATGCCTCCAGGGCTTAATCAGAGTGATTTTGAAACCATTGATTCCCCACCTAGCAGAACCCCAAGTCCTGAGCCTAAGCCTAAAACTCCACCTAAAAAGAGCATCAAAGATCTGCCTCTTCCTCCTGTTGTTGGTGGATCAGAGGATTTCAGTGCTGATGAAGATGGTCCTCAGACTCCTCCTCCACCAACTAGCATGTCCAAACTTAATGTAGGAAAACCTGCTAAAGGAAAGTTAAAAAGACCCAAAATTGTTAACAAACATCGGCCATCCAGGAACAGTATGATGCCAGCCACTGGTGGAAAAGACTGGGGTGAACGCTGTGTTGATATGTTTGATGTTATCACACAGATTGGGGAGGGTACTTATGGACAGGTGTACAAAGCTAAAGACAAGAGAACAAGTAAGTGAATAATGGTATTGATAAATTTTGAATTTGTTGTGGACAAACAGTCATGTTTTTTTTGCATTTTACAGAAGAGATGGTTGCATTGAAAAAGGTTCGCTTAGAAAATGAAAAGGAAGGTTTCCCAATAACAGCTGTCCGAGAAATCAAAATTTTACGTCAGCTAAACCACAAAAATATTGTGAATTTGAGAGAAATTGTTACTGACAAACAAGATGCTCTAGATTTCCGCAAGGTAAGTTGATTTTACACCAGGTCAGTTTTTCAATCCTTAATCGTTTAAGCAGTTTTTATCCTCTTTGCTTTATTTTCAGGACAAAGGGTCTTTCTATCTTGTATTTGAGTACATGGACCATGACCTAATGGGGTTACTAGAATCTGGCTTTGTAGACTTTAAGGCTGTTCATAATGCTTCTATTATGAAGCAGTTGTTGGATGGATTAAACTATTGCCACAAGAAGAATTTTCTTCACAGAGATATTAAATGTAGCAACATACTTATGAACAATAAGTAAGTAGTTCTTTCCTACATTCTAGAAAATATACCTCAAGTCTGATAACCTTATTAACAATAATCCATTGTTGTTATTTTAGAGGTGAAGTGAAACTGGCGGACTTTGGTTTGGCTCGCCTTTACAATGCAGAAAATAGAGAGCGACCGTACACAAATAAGGTTATTACTTTGTGGTACCGTCCTCCAGAATTACTGTTGGGTGAAGAAAGATATGGGCCAGCTATCGATGTTTGGAGCTGTGGTTGCATTCTGGGTGAACTTTTTAACACTAAACCCCTATTCATGGTAAGAGCAAGCTGATTTACTTTGCCACTGAATATAAAAACTGACATTGAAGTGCCAAAATCTACATTGAATTTTCCTCTTTTGCCAGGCTAATACAGAGCTGAATCAACTAGAGAAGATATCTTCATTGTGTGGCACACCCACCCCTGCTGTGTGGCCTAATGTGATAAAGCTTCCCCTTTGGCACACAGTAAAACCTAAGAAAACCTATAGAAGACGTTTAAGAGAAGAATTTGAAAAATTAATGCCAACCCCTGCCTTAGATTTACTAGACCGCATGCTAGAACTAGACCCTGATAGGAGAATCACAGCAGAGGAGGCGCTTAAATCAGCTTGGTTGATAAAAGTCCAACCAGAAAAGTAAGTTATATATCTGTCCATCTCTGCTCTGATGAATCTAGTCCAATTATCTAGTATAAAATTTGATTTTTCTTGTGAATTAATTTCTCATCTTTTTTCCAGAATGTTACCACCTGACCTGCCTGTGACACAGGATTGTCATGAAATGTGGAGCAAGAAAAGACGAAAGCAAATCCGTGAGCAGCAAGATTGTGGTCCACATCTTCCTCAAGGAAAACCTCAAACTTCCAAAGATAAACCAATTAAAGCACCATTTGATGACAGCTTAGAGCAGGGCGGGTAAGATGTGTTGAATATATATCTCTTTCTTCCCCTGCATTGTCTGGATGTTGAGTGCTCTGGTAGCATGTGCAGGCCTAAAAAGAAAGCTTTAATTTGAAGGTGGTCGGTTTTGTAGGTTATTGTTGGATACGCCTGATGTAGTTTGGATACTTGTAACATCTCTGAATTATTTTTAACAAATTTTGTTTGTACAACATTAGATCCATTTTACTTATTTTCCCAGTTGATGTCTCTTTAGTTTGGCAGTGTTCTATCAGCTTCTGATACATGTTAGCTATCAATATTAGTCTTTAAAAAAATGTACCAATGAAACATTGGTATACTCTACCACCAATTGAATTTGTGATATACTAAGTCTGCCTGTGCTCCAACTTAGAAGAGGTAAAAATTGTCAAATTCTTTATAATTGTAAGGGTTTGGATATCACCAAAGTTTTAGCATAGGCATGGTTTATTACTCATGCTTTTTCCTCCCCAACACTGGAATAGATAGATTTTTTATGCGGATTTTATGATAAGTGGTCCAGGGCTTCACACATCCAAGACAGGTAATGAAATTTTGTACATTTGTATGGTAGGCTCTTGTAAATAATTATGAATATAATGTCTATAAATATGTATCTATGTATATGTCAAGGATGTCATTCGCAAAGTACTGTGCATGATCAATTACACAGAAAATCAGTGTCAACATATCTTTTTCCACATTGTTTTGTTTTCATGCCTTTGGCCTTTGCACCTGGTGGTGAACTCTGAGAAATTTCTATAGTCCTACTGCCTTAGATATAAATGTGCCAACTGGGCATTGAAACTGAGTAGTTTTTACGTTTTTTATCAGATCAAATGAATTGTTATAACTCTTTCTATTGGAAGAGGAAATATTTTGTGTACATAATGCCTGATAATGCATTTGACATCAGTTGGTGATCATGATGTCAATAAAGAATTACCCCTATGTTAAATGAACGGATTCAACTGTTTTCTTTATACTCAATCCCCACCCCACTCTTTCTACACTCAAATCAATGAAAGTATTGTATTTTTGTACACCTAAATACTAGATAATCTGACATTACGTCTCAGGTATATACTAATTTTCATTGGATTGGGTTCCAACATCGTTTTCCCTCTCACCAATTGGCTCAGAGTTCAACTTGTTCTCAATAGCTTGCATGGTTGTTGTAGGGTAAGGTAGACATGCCTGTGCTTGTCCTTTCAAGTAGTAATTTGCTATTTTTTTTATCTACATTGCCTACTCTTATTCTTGATTCAATTTTTGAATTGATAGATTAATTTAGTTTATCATCATAGTAGACTTGGCATTTGCATGGACATTTTTTTCTTCTCTTTGCTAGTAGAGTAAATCTAGTTCAGCTAGCAAGTGTGGCCAAGTTGCATTTGCATTAAAATATTTTTTTCTCTCTTATCTCTCTCTTCTTCCTTCCTTTTTTTTCCTTTTTTTTTCCATCTTATAATTAACTACATTTTTCCAAATTCTTTGAAAGGGGAACTATACAGAGCAAAGTATCTAGAATAGGCAGTTTCCAGTTTTGTTACATTTAGATGCACATTAAACAATATGGGTACATACTCATTAAAAAGTGGTATCAGAGTTTATGTTCTTGCACTGCACCAATGTGCAATGCAGCACAATCCTGAACTATAGACTTGATGGTGAGTTCAAGCAGATACTACATTGCAGTTTCCAAGTGAAAATGCTTAATCTTTTAAAATCTGCTACTACTTGTTACGGTGTTATTACATGTCCTGTTGGAGAATATTAAAGTATTCCATAAATCAGTCTGGATAACTTTGAATATTTACCAATCCCATAATAAATGCTTTATAGCTTTATTATTTCTGTATAATCCTATTTTTGGTAATGTTTACAATTATGTTTCAATTCCTTTTATTTTATTATCAATCATTATAAAAGATGCTTGCGCTTGCCTAGTTTGATGTTTGGCTTGTTCTTCCAGATCAAGTAATTCTTCCCCATCAAAACGAGCGCCCTATGACAGGTAATGACCATATTAAGTCTTCATTTAAAGTTCATTTTTTCCATTTGTCTCTAAAAATAATCTTGTATGATTTATCAAAAGAATCTTTTTTTTTTAGTCTATCATTACAATTTTATCATGACATAATTCCAGCAACTTTTAAATCTGTTTTCTTCATACTCTTAGTCCACGTTTTGATCTTATTCCAGTTCTTCAAGGACACTGAAAATGGAGGCTGGTTTTACTTATCATGCATCAAGCAGTGAATATAATCAGCAATCACTTACTGCCGCTATCGCCGCTGCCACTGGCATGTCATCTCCGGCACCTCGTCGACCAAACCGTCTGGGACCCCGTAATCCTCAACCATCATCATACTCACCTCCTTTACCAGATGAAAATATTCTTCCTGATGTTTCACTTTACAAACAACTCTCAATCATTGCGGACTATGTTGTGAGAAAGTTTCCCATTAGAGTTCATCATTTATTGGCACTTCATCAGGAGAATGAGGTACATAATTTTAAGAACACTCGAATTTGACCATTGGGATACCTTAATAATCTATGTTTTTTACAGGCTGATGGTGCATTGGTTGAAAGACTTCAGTGGGATCTCAGGCAGGCCTTTGAAACTGCACATGCATCCAACCAACTTCCAGCAGTTCCTCAAAAGTTCCCTCGAGTTGATCCCAAATTAGTCATCTTTAACGGCCCTAGTAAGTTGAAATTTTAACTTGAGTAGATTGGAAGAAAAGAAACAATACCTGGTTTTCCCTTAAACCAAAAAAATCTTGATTTCAGATGTGAATGCATCAGGTAGGCCTGCCTCAGGGTCAAACACTGGATTTGATGCATATGCTGTGTATGCTGGGGACAACGCAGTTAATCCAACTGTACCCCAAGAGACCATAGCTAGTGAAGCTGTGCGATCAACATTATCAACGTTGTTAAATAAGAATGGTTTTCCTGTGGCTGCTGGAATGCTGAAGCATTCACTTTCTCAGCAATCTAAGGAACCGCAAGATGCAGGTATGGAGAATTACTCATCTCGGAGGAGCATATCCACAGCTTATGAACAGCACCCCATTCCTACCTTACAGTCAACTGTAAACAGTAGCAATGGACAAAATGTGTTTGATAATCAGAACCATATTAGCAGCATGTGGTAAAATTGCTTTTTACTGTCAAAATACCCCACGCACAGTTTTTTTTTTTTTTTTTTTTTTTGTACAGTAGCTAAGTTTATTACCCCCAGTACTGTTACTGTTAATTATAATGCTAGCATAGGTGCTGTTGTTGTTGTTTTTGTGTGTGTGTGTTTCAAACCATTAATTTTATGTGACCCCTGTAATTCTCTTTGTGTTTTTTGAACTCTGCCTGCTTTTAACACTCTTCACATACTATTTGATCATACTTTGATTTAGATTCGGTTTTCAAAGTAATATGCTATCTGAAGAAAATGCAGTGAGAAATTTTGATACATAATCTACAGTGTAAACCTTCAGCAATGTTTGCAGCATGAGCTTTTTGCTTTCATATTTTGTGTTCTATTCTATCTGATATGAAATGAACTACCCCTGTAAATAAGTATTTTTATTTCAAGAATTTTCTATCCTTCCTTGATTGTGATATGTATTTTGTATTCATACATAGCTTTTTGTACATCATTCTCTACTTCACAGAATTTCTTTCGAATTGTTATATCTATTTTCCCTATTTTGGAGGCATGCCAAGTTAGACGAATATTTACTTATATTGAAAAACAAAAATTTATCTGCATGCTCAATTTTTTTGTGATGTTCTTTGCTTGTTTTTTGGGCTGATGCTGGATTTTGAAATCAAAATGAACTTTCTTATATCCACTTTGTTGTATGTCCTAGATTTTTAATTCATGAACTGTAGAGCAATTATAGTAAAGAGATACAAATGCTGTTTTATTATTCCAGGAAACAGCTATGCCAGTGGTGACCAATTTACTGGTGGACAGTAAATATTAACCCATCTGAGGATGATAGAAGTGCATTCATCTTCAACTTTTCTTATTTCATGTTTTCAGGCATCGGGGTGAAAATGTTATGTTATGCAACCGCAAATGCATTGTTTCTATCTATTGTACATAAATTTTAGAAACTTGTACCTATCGACTATCACTGTAAGTTACTTCTATTGTAAGTTATGAATAAATAAAGCCAATCAACTACCCATCTTCCCAGTTTAATTCAAAACTTCCTTTCTTCTTGTCTTTGAATTTTCTGAAGAATTCTCTCCTCTTGAAATCGCTAGGACTCTACCCCGCCCTTGCCCTGGTTCCTCTTTGCCACTTCCTCCAGCGCAGTGGCGGCTCATATCTGGAATGCCATACAGGTGGAAGGAGCGAGAGGGGTAAGAGGGGGAGCGGCGCGTCTAAAGAGAGACTGGAGAAGGACACGAGATATGCAGTACAATGGAGAGGAGGAGGAGGAGGGAAGTTCGGCTTCGTCCGTCTTGGCTCGGCTCGACTCGGCCCGGCCGAACCGCAGCCAGCCAGCAGCCAGCCGCCGCCAGCCAGCCAGGCAGCCAAGCCAGTCAGCCAGTCCCAGCAGTCGTGAGCTGACCGTGTCCGGACGAACGTCGTCTGTGCTGGAGTTGTTACCTTCCAGTCGGCAGGTGTTGAGGAAATGCGGTGATTTCCCTTAGACGTAGCGCCGCCCCCTCTCTCAAGGATACTTCATCATCAGGGATTGCAGTGTCTGTGTAGTGTGTGTGTGCGCCCAGTGCTCTCCAAGTGCAAGCCTGTGAGTGAGTTCGCCACCACCATGCCGTGCTCCGCGGTTACCTTGTCGCTCGCCACCATCACGGCCGTGATCGCCGCGGCCCTCCTCTCCATCGCCTTCGGCACGGACAACTGGCAGTACATCGAAGTGAAGCGGGCGCAGATACAGGTGAGTCGCACCCGAGTGCACCGGAACCAAACTGCACGCGCCGTGCAACAGGTGGGGCAGCCGACCACTGGCCGACCGGGCAGAGAGGAGCATTTCTCACTGCTCGGGGTACACGCCAAAAAAAGCTGTTAGGGGAAGGAAAACGACGGAGGTCTTGTCGCTCTCTTAGAAGTATTAGTAAAATAGCACTTTTTGAACTTCTATTGCGTACTAGTTTTTTAACTCTTCACTTTTTTGCTCTCAATTTTTAACGGATTGGATTGGTTTTCGTGGGTGTGCTTATTTTATTCTTACATTTTTAAAAACTATTATGTCTTGTCGTTTGAAACACCCTAAAGTTATGTCGTTTTATTATTTTTTTCCTCTTTTTTGTCTTTAAATATAATTTTAGAGTGGTCTGGAAAGGAGGGTCCACTAGGGGGTCTGGTCGTGTGGCGAGCTGGCAGGTGCCTGCCACCCTCCCGGAGCAGCCTGGGGGGTTACATGCCGGCCAGCGCACCCTCCTGCCCGAACGGCCTGAACCGACACCTTCGGAGGGGCAGGACCGCTCGTTATCGGATGTCTCTGATGCGGGAGCAGGAAGCGAAGCGGTGGTCCGGGTGGTCCTCCTCACACCTCGGGGGTGGTCTCTCTAGGGTGCCCCCCCCCCTCCCCCGCAACACTCACGCGCCCACAATTAGGATTTGTTTGAATAGGAATGCTGGGAAGGCAGGCGCCGCCGCTGGACAGGCGCGCAATTTGATAATAATGTGGGAAGGAGGGACCGAGGTGGGGTTCGTGGTGGGGGGAGGGGGGGGGGCCTCGCAGGTGAGTGGCCCTCACCTCGCCCGAGTCAAAACCGGGAAATAAATACCCTACAAATTTTTGTCGTTTACTTGAACCCCCTTTTCACCATATTCCTCGCAGTGCACTCTGTGCATGCGCGCGATGATGCGGGATAGCGGTCTGCGCCACCCGATACGCCCTGACCAGGTCACCCCGCGGCCCCGCGGCGGTGGAAGTGGAAGTGAAGTGTCAACGCGCTAGCGCTAAGCACCTAATGGGGGCGATGGCGCGCTAGCGGGACCGGGGAAGACGCACCCTCGGCGGCGGTGGCGGGGGCGGGTGGCACTTCCCCCGTGCAAGCGAGCGAGAGAGGGGTGGCGGTGGCGGCGGCGGCGGCTTTGCCTTCTCTGCAAAGATACGAGCGAGACCGATCGAACCAAACTCGTCTTGGAGCGACCAGCGACCGGGTCAGGCCGGCATCGATTCAGCAAACACTTTCGACCCATCATCGCTTCGGCATAAGGCGAGCATCGCGGTGCGGAGAAAACCGCGCCTCCTCTTCCTGCTGCTGCTGGTGGTGGTGCCGCTCCTCCGAGAGCCGATGATTCAAATTAGCCGGCCTATCGGTTCTGTCCAGTGGCAGGGGCCTGTATACCAGAGGCGCCCGCGGAGTAGACTTTCTCCCCTCCTCTCCTGTAATTACCTGGAAAATGCTACTACGGCCGGCCCAGAGTGGAGTGTCCGCCTGTCCATCCGGTCGCTCAGCTTGAGCTGCTCGGCGCTGCATTGGCGGCCGTCCCGTGTCCCCTGCTCTGCGCTCCGCACCGATCGCTGTTTGCACACGGAGGCACTGTGCAATCCGCTCGCCCCGCCCCGCGACTCGCGGATGTTTGTCAACAACGCGAGCCGGTGGATGGGACGCGCGGATGCCACCGCCGTCTTGTCGGTTTGGGCCTCGCCGACAGTGGCGTAGCGTAGCAGTGGCGAGTACTAGTAGATACTACTACGCGAAACACCAGCGCCGCCGTGCGCTTGCCGCATCAAAACTGAAACTGTGGAACAGTGTCCGCTGACAAGTCTGCGTCTAATGTGAGAGGCGCTGCTGGTGTGAGGAGGTGCTGCTGCTGCGGGGCCCGCCGGGCTTGGTGGTGCAGGTGCAGGGCGGCGTGGGTCCCATTGTCTGCTCACCGGACACTCCTCCCCCTCCCCTCCCACCCTGTCGCACGTTGCCCGCCCCTCGTGTCATAACCCTGTTCGTCTCGTCTTTCCTCACCACGCGCCACCGCCAGCCCATAGACACCCCCCGACACTTAGGCAATCTTTTCTTCTACGTTTTATCTTTTCATTCCGGCATAATTTGTTTTTCTGAATGTTTCACTTTGCAAGTTTTCAGTTTAAGCTAGATTAAGTGGATAGCTTGGCCGGCCTACTATTTCATTTGTTTTAGCGATCATCTCCGCTGCTTGGGAATGGCTCGCCCCGCCCCGCCCCGCCGCAGTCGCGGCTATTGATTGCATTGTCTCCGATAGGAAGGGCTTTTGCTCGGCAGCCCAGTTCCCATCACCGGGAGGTCGCGCCCGTCCCGCCGCCGCCGCCGCCGCCGCCGCGCCCTCCTGGCCCCGTCCTCGTAGTCCTATCCCCGCGCGCTGCTAAACGGGAGCGCTCGCGGGCGCGGGGCGGCGAGGCGAGGGCGGCCGAGCGGTGAAAGCTCTTCTTCTCTATCGTTTTGGTGACCATCGCGATCGGCGCGCGTGCCAATCTTTCTCCTCCTCCTCCTCCTTCTCTTTCTGCTTGACGCGGCGGCGGCGTCGTCCTCCTGCTCGGCGAGGAATGCTGTGCGCGGCGTGGCGCGGCTCCGATGTGGAGCGGGGCGCGGGCCGGCCGGCGGGACCGCCGAGGAACGCGCGGCGCCACTGCTGCTGCTGCTAGCTTCGACTTGGCGGAAATCGCTGGGTTAGTTTGTGAGGAGGGAGTTATTTTGCCCGACATACAAAGGTTTGTTGTCGGGAACTTCAGCCTATCCTCTCGGCCTCCATTCTTGGCTCTTGCTGGAGGAAGGCGGGGCGGACACGGGGGGCATTCCCTTCCCTTGCTTATTGCCCGCGGCGTGTTATTGTATGACGACTCCAGTCGCGAAAACGGTTTTGCTCGTTGTGATTTTTGGGAGCGGGCACGCCCTGTGAATGTGTGTGTGTGTGTGTGTGTGTGTGTCTGTGTGTATGTTTGCGTGTACGTGCGTGCGTGAGCGTGATTACCATGATGATCTGGGAGGCGCGGCCGCGCGGTCGGAAGGAAATTGCCGCGCGCCGCGCTCACGTCGTTGTCCGTATAGCTTGTCAGCGAGGTGGAATGATGGATTACATTTTGTGCGTCTTTTGCCGATTCGTCGTGGGGTGGGTGGTGGTGGGACTCGAACACGAACACGCCGCCCCGCCGCGCGCCTTATTCGCTGCTGCTGCTGCTGCTGCTGCTGCTGCTGCTGCTCGGATTGGGTTGGTTGGGAGAGGATCGAGGCAGAAGAGGTCTTCGCCCTCCGCGTGGTGGTGGTGCCGGAGGAGGTGCTTGCCAGCGTGGTGGTGGTGGCGGCGCGGTGCCTCGCAGCGGAGGCCCTCGGCCACGCCGTTGCCGTTGGCCCGCGGCGGCCGCGCCCCGCCCCGCCACCACACGCAGCGGCCGCGAGAAACTCGTTGGCGGCCGCCTGTCTCGCTCTTTTTATTTTTCCTCGGTCGTCGCGTTTGCGATGCGTTATGCAGCATCAAGCAGTCTGTCGGGTCTACGGTGCGGGGGCCTTCCGATGGCTCCGAGCAGATGCATTGTGTTTTTCTTTTTCTTATGATAATCGTGCGAGCTTGCGCTGCGCGTCCCGTCCGACGACTCATCGCTCGGCTCACAGCGGGAGCGGGGGTTTCTCTTACGCCCTGTACCCCCTCCACTTCCCTTCTAAAAGCACTCCGCGCCCTACGAATGGCGCCTCGTCAACTTTTACCTCCGTTGTAGTACAAGTACATACTCAATCGTTAATTACCCACCTCCACTCTTGTTGCCAACACTCTGTTTTTTATTTTGCGGTGGAAGGACAACCTTTTGTGGAAATGCCGCTCTGTGGCAGCAAGATACAGTGAAACCTCCGTAGATGCCCAGCAATCGGGACCGAGCTCTTGCAAATATGGAGGTTGTCAAAACGTTTGCCAGATGTTGGTTGACGAGAGTTCGGAGCCTCGCCCGGCCATAAAGTCTATTGTGTGCCGCCTCGCCCGAGAGGTGAGCCGCGCCTGCCCGATCGCTGCCTGGCCCAGCCTCGCCTGCCCGACGTCCGACACTGCGCACCCGCTGCTGGCCGGCCGGCCGGCGATGCCCGTCCGGCGTGGGCTGGGCCAGGCAATGCTCGAGCCCGCGCTCCACTCGGAGTACAGCCTGTCAATCAAGCCGGCTTAAGGGAGAGTCGCGTAAACGTTTTCATTTTTCGGGGCAGGGGCCGGTCCTTAATATGCGCATCTACGGAGGTTGCATCTACGGAGGTTTCACTGTATTTTCACTTCGTCCCCAGCGGCAATCGCGTGCTCGCTGCCAACCTAGTAGCATTGCTCATTTCCTATTTCCTGCAATGAGGAAGTAAAAGTACGTATGCGCTCTTTGGCTCTTTCTAAACTTTGGCTGTGGTGCCAACATTTGGCAACGGATGTTACATTGCCAGAAGTCCGTAGTGAAGGTACCAGTTGGCGGATAAACCCCGCGCAAGAGTTAGACTGTCGGGCGCGAACAGGAGTGCTACGAGAGTTTGCTTATCACCTCTGACCATGGCGCCTTATGGGCCGTGCGAGTAGGCAACCCGCCCGCACGCAGGAATGCGGCACAGCATACCTACAGGCGCGCGGTTAATCAGCCACCTGTTAGGGCCTACATTGCAACAAATTTGGCTGTGAAAGTGAAATGTTATTATTTCTGAATGCGTATTAACTGACAAAATTTGACTATGAGGTATTGATTGCCAGATGTTACTTGTGCTTGTTCATCGACGGCCAAAAGGCCATAAAGCCACTTGCTTGGCACTGAACGAGTCATTGCAAGTGGAGAGGTATGGTGAACATGTCGTATTGGCAGAGTCGAGGACAGCTCAGTTCATCATCGCCAGAAATACGAAACAGCGTGTGAAAATATTCGACTACTTCTAAATAAACGACGGCTGCTGTCGAACGATTCCCGATTAAATGCCTACTCTCCCGCGCGGACAGACA